AGTCAATACCTGAACAGTTGTTCAAGAGATACTGGAAGTGCTTTCGTCAGATCTGCATTTTGTCTGCAGTCTGCATGTATGCGACACATGAAGTACCATACACCAGCATCCTTATCGGCTGCAACGTGGGTCTATGAAACGCGTTCAAGGAGTCGATTTCCTTAGGTTGGTGGCGTTCGGTGTAGCATTCCATCTGATCTGTCTTTGCCGTGTATGCATCCTTGATGCGATGAACTTCTCAAGTCTGTCGCCGGAGAAGTTTGCGAATCTGAATCTCCTTCTCTGCGTCGACAGACTCATCCAAATGCGCCAATTGTCACACTGTTTTCATCAAACCACTCGGGCCGTTTATATTTTGCTCACCGGATCGTTTCTTCTGGCGAATCAGTCACATGCCGTTTAAGGAAGTCTCCCAGGGCGCTGACTTAACCGATGCAGCCGACACCTCTTAGCTGGATAGCCATTGCCTTCTCCGGCTCAATCCGCCTTTGAACCGTATCCCGTCCGAGCATAGGCCATTTGACAACAATATTGGGCTGATCCCGGTCGCCTCTTCCACCAGGTGTCTACTTGAGCCATCCAATAGTAAAAATACGACTTCATGTTCATGTAGTGCCGTGGTGGTGCTGCCCAACCAGTAAAACGTGTAACCCCCCCCCCCACCCCCGTGCAGCTTGCCATGGTTAGCCAGCTAAGTCTCACCGAGTGCGGTAATATCAGTCCCGCAGCGCACGAATTCCATCGCACCTTCAGTTCTTTCCGCAGAAGCACACGATTGTGTCGGGCAATTGATGGGGTGGTGAGTTAGAAGTCGGGTGAGGTCAAAGCAGGTAGGTTGAGTGGGTCAAATGAAATGGGGACCGGGAAAGAATTTCTCGGCGATGGGGATAGAAGGGAGGCGTCAGCGGTATCGTGTGTTCGTTCCGCCACTATGATCGATGCAGCAGACAAGACGACCCTTATCGCTACCCAACACTGCACGACGGCCGATGCAGCATGAGATTATTAGTTGTTGTGTTGTTCATGGTTAGGGTTGGAGTGATATACTGAAAAGCGTCCACACCTAAACAGGAGAAGGAATCTGGTCCTCAGGAAATTTCCTCGCTAAACTGTTCTCCCGAAATTCTGCAGAAAATATGCCGTCGGTCTACCATTCACAAGGATGTGCTCTGGCTTTTAGCTAGAGTATGGGTGTGGCTCTACTGCGACCCAGCGGTCGCCATGGCTGTCAGAGACAGGAGCTTCACGACCTTCCAAAGATTGAATGAAGTTTCCAATGTCTATTTCGGCTAGATCTGTGGAGACAAGCCAAGTACCATTCGAGTGAAATAGGGGTCACACGGTGGGTTGTGTTGGGTAGTTAAATTGAAGAGCAAAGGACTCCGCCCAACAACCCAAGCGTTTATGTGAGTGTGTGATTTTCTTGCGTCTGACCCACAGATTGTCTGACTGATAGCATGTGAATTGTAACCGGTGACCTTGATGAGGTAAAAGTAACTGCGAATGTCCCATCATCACCATCACCAACAACAACGGCAGTACAGTAGCCATCTGAACTGATGCTTAGCTGCCCCACAGTCTCGGTTACCTAAGGAAAGAAGAAAAATAAGGGGGAAATAAGGAAGACCTAGCGTAAAACCTTAATGCTCTAAACAAACACAGGGTCAAGGCGCCTATATCTTGTCAACAACATACCGCCATAAACATCTGGCTATCGTGAAATGATAAGGCGGCATCGGCGAGATAGCTTCTTTGCGGTTTTCACTGCCCCGCGTCATAAGCGGGCATTTAACCGCGGATAACACAGGACCAAACACAGTTTAAACAGGTACTCCGATTACGAGAAGGTAGCAGACTGCGAGCCATGTCCTGCAACTTCTCGAGCCAAGCACAAGCACGGTCACTTGCGCTCCAGCCTGGAACGCGAGACGGACCAATAGCACCCACTTTTGTAATCAGCGGCTTTATTTCAAGGTGTTAAGTCAACTTTTGTCCACCTCGAGCTTTGCGCTATCCTACATCCGACAAACAAAACAAGCCCCTCCTCGGTAAGCGGGTGACCGGACATACGTAGTACGTGCCCAAGCTAACACAAGTTATTCACCGATATCTGTTGCTCTAAGGAACCAGCATGATTATCACTGGCAAGCACACCTGTACACATCACAGTTGCAGAAGTGCTGGTGCACTCTGACACTAGCAATGCTTCGCCGACAACGATGATCAGAGACTTGAAGGCGCCTCAGACCGAAGGGTCCAATTCTCACTCCCAGTGTAGGAAGGTCCTCAGTGTTGCCTTGTAAACAAGGTCTTTCAGACCGAGAGTAACCCCTTTTCCATGTGCATTATCGACATTATACTCCCATTAGAGGCTGCATCTGTAATGTCAGGCTTCCGTTAAGTCCACAGTATCTCATATAGTGTGAATCGTAGGTACCAAACGATTATCGAGTCGTGTATCTCGTTAGAAGGCAGTGGACCGGAATCTGAAACGATGCTGAATTTCCATCCAGTATACGCTAGCTTTAGTTAGGTCTAGTAGAGAATTTTAGGACCGCCTCAAAGGTGTATTTTAGTCGTCCTGTGATTTGCAATGTCACAATTTTCCAAACCAAGGAATTGTGCAATCGCAGCTAATGGTTTCCTCCTCGTACCACGGTTGTGCACTATTCTGATAAGTTGCGAACGGAGTACCGAAGGTGCGATGCAGACAACTTAAAGAAGGCACATGATAAAGCTGGAACGACGCGTGACTCGCGGCTTACAAGCTATCAGCAGCACCCACCGTTATGAAAGTAACGAATCTAATGACAAGTTGTGTGACTGGTAGTTTAATTAGCCTAGAAACCGGTGCAGTCCCGCCGGGTTCTTACTTTCTTACCAGTACCGATGACTACTGTCATTCATGCATATGCTGTGCGACACGTATAAAGGCCACTGGCTATAAGAACTAAACTAGTGAAAGCGATAAGATATAAATCTATGTTGCTCCGTCGCAGTTAGATTAGGCATGTGAACGGAAGTACGTCACTGATCCTGCGCAAAGGCAGCATATCACAGCTGTACTACAACTTACCCGGGTGCGGAACGCTCCCTATACCTGTAGTCCGCAAAGTGGACGTCAAGAAATCTCTTAAATTCCGACACCGAATTCGCCTCGAATATTGTCTGACAACTTGTTCCAATATTTCACCACACAACCTTCGAAGCATAGACGGTGAGCGATACGCTTCAATTCCGGTAGCAACAGTTTGTACCAGTGTTCGCGTGTGCTACTTGGTGCGCGAACGTGTAGCAGCCCAGGTGCGATATCCTGTGAGTCATAATGAGATTAACGCGAAGCCGACGATATGACAGGGTATACAGCCCTAGTCTCCTACAGCGGTCCTCGTACGATATATCCCGTAAACTGGGTATGAGCCGGGCAGGTACATGCCGAACCCGTTCCAGTCTCTGCACCTCACTTGTTGTGGTCGGACAAGTGGTGGGTGAGCCGTACTCAAGCGCCGGTCTTATCATGGAAGAGAACAAGCGAGTGGTAATCTCCAGACAAAGAGCAGAAGCTGCGTCCAAGTGCCCAAAGCAGCCATAGTCCGTTTCTCTACAGTCTGTTCGTGTTGTCGATGGGCTTCAGATCATATGGTGAGAGTACACCTAGCTCCTTTATTGAGCTTGTGGGATGCAGAGGTTGGCCGGCTATAGTGTACATCCGCCCAATTACCATCCTTTCCCGGACTCATAAATGACGACTTGACTGGGTTGACCGGCAGATCAACTTTTACAGATCACAGGGACAGGCAGTCGAGGTCTTGCTGAAGGAGGTCGCAGTCGTTGAGAGAATCAAAAACTCGCCAAATCTTTAGATCGTCTGCAAACAATGCGCACGGCGACCGAAGAAGCTGAGGTACTTCCTTGATGTGGATTAGGAACAAGACGGGCCCAGCAACGTGCCTTTGGGTAGGCTGCTAGTGGTTGGGTACCATTCCGTAAGGTAATCATCTAGGTGTACCCGCTATCTTCTCCCAATGCGGAAGCCACTGACCCACTGGTGTAGTGTGCCACCAACACCCCACATCCGCAGGTTGTGGTGGAAGACCTCATGGCAAGGTTGTTCATCCGCTCTCCGTTCTATACTCACCTGTGGTTAAAGAATGAGTGGTAAGTGACCCTACAGGCGGTCACACTGGCTTTGACACAGCGCCGTACGAGGTCTTGTGGTATTTGATTAAGAACCAGCTAACCAGCCGAGAATTCCCCGTGCTCTGAGACGCTGCCGCTGATTGTCCGCGACTGCTTATTCATTTTGAATGTAAGGCCAAAGAGACTTATTCGCAGTTACCTCCACAAGGGAAGCATTCCTCAGTCCGCAGGCAGGGGACGCGTCCGATAGCGTACAGCTCCGCCACGGGTGTTCCCGCTTAGCAGAAATATGTCCGGAGTGTTTCCATGGAAGAATTGCGCTCGTTATATGGATTGAGCTCGGAAGTGCAGGTCAAGAGCGTGTATTGGTTAAGCGGTATGCGTATTGATACTGCGTGTAAATATTTACGATTGCAAGTGAAAGGTTTGCATTAGCATGTCTATGACTGCCCATTCGCTGGTGCGTACTTTGCGTCCCATCTCTAGTGGAAGTAACACTAATGAAACTGGGACAATTGGACCATATTGATGAGAAAACATGTCACTAAGCGTCCGCCCTGTGACATGCAGATGTATCCTCATCGTGGCGGTGTCAGTGATAAGTGGATGCCAATGCGGGTTTGGGGACCAAACGGATGAATAATTCCAATTCTGGAAAATGTAAGAGGCTCAGATAGTTAACATTCCCTGGGTAACGAAAGTTTGACATTTACATATTATGTGTTTGATTAAATTGAAAATCGCACTTTAAAATTTGCAACCTATGATGGACATTCAACGGTCAACAGCCCTGTAATACTCAACTGGTCAGTCGGGTAACTTCCTCTTAGTAATGGGAGTGCAACCTCATTGTAACTCACATCCCGGCCCGATCAGAGTATTTTTACTATCACCAGCTCGCCGGTCTTGCATGAATTTTCTCGCTGTCGCCGCTCGCTGCCGTGCCAACGTATTGCGTAGCTCCGCACACTTTGCGTTCAGCTGATCGTAGCGCCTGCGAGTGATGGCTTCAAAATGTTTTGGACCATCGTCATCCGAGTCCGCATGCATTAAGGTGATCTGTCGAGGACTAGATAAACAGAACAATCTGGTTAGCTTATATCTCTTGTACTATAATTTGCAGGCAGATAAAATACAGGGAAAACGATTAATTAGGATAATAGCAGGGAAACGACCTACTCGAGACGGAAGTAACTGTGCATCTACAGTGGTCACCATAACACATAGTCAGTAGTATCCCTCTCCAGACTTGACGGTTACCGTGACTGTAAGTAGTCACAGGCGGCCTACGCACACAAGTGGACAACCAGTGGCCTGCACTTCCAAATCCCACGTCCAGTGTATGCCGAAAGCGATATGAGATGCAGACTTGCTAACTGGCGCCACAAGTTGATTGGAGGCCGGGTCAGACCCCTACAGTATCACCATCCCCCGTCAGGATGCAAGCATTCAGATTTTGTGTACCTGGAAATGACATATAGGCTGCGGCCACATTAACGCAAAGCTGTTGTTATCACGTTGTAAAGATTTAACACAAGTCACTACTTCAAGTATACCCCGACTGATGTAACAACACGCATCATATATCAACTCATTTACAAAAGTCACAACAGCGTGCACTTGCAATGGACAGAGGAGTTAAATACACAAATGTTGGGACAATCAACCGAGTAAAAAGTAATGAAAGGTGGTCACGTCGACGGTTGATGTTTTGAAGGCACTGACTATTCACGTCCCCACGACCGCAAGAACATGAAGATGAGCCAGGACAGCGTTGGATGCATGCTTCCTTATATAGGGTACAATAGTTTATGAAGCAAAGATGCTAAAGCACGTTGGAGCCAACCAAGCTTATAGGAACAACGAATAATAGGGCGAATGAGAAGTGACAAAAGAAAGAACTAAGCAGACTAGTTCGAGGAGATGGTATTAGTGGAAATAGGCCTCTGAGATAGGCCAGCCAAAAGAAGCAAAGGAAGGATGCACTTAAACAATTGCCAAGAAAAAAACGATGGCGAAAAGAAAGCAGGCGACTAAGAATTGTACCGAAAAATATAAGTCCCCTGAGGGACCCATAACAGTTGATACCATCAACTCAAGCGAATGAGGGAATTTTTATACAATAACGCTTTTTGGCGGCCCACAGCAGGATAACTATATAGCCATTCACATTCATAACAGCAATCAATATAATAGGTATATAGAAAATTTAAAAAGGTGACCTTAAGTTGCTCGTTTAAAGCACCCGTATTTTTCACGTCGTTAATATCGCTGTTCGAGGCTAAGAGACAAGGCACATGAAGCCAAGCAACCGGGAACGCAGTTACAAGCCGCCAAACCTTGCTTCATGCAGCATACTTTCCTGCTTCCAGTAGTTTACATTCATTGTCCCTCGCCACCATTCAAGATCGGGAACAAACCGATAATAGCTAAACAACAGGGTACTTATTACTCAAGTCCGAGGCTATGAGCGGCTGCACTCAGGTGCTGACATATCCCGGTACGTTGAATTGCTAACTGTCCAATGGCGTAAATTGCTTTGCTGGCAGGGGTGAGATGGGGCACAGAGGCGCGACATGCGTGTCTACGATCGCTGTACACACCGAGCCGTTCGGCTGTGAGAACTGGACAGCAAACACAACAGCCGCGATCGACCTGTCATGCATGGATCGCAGGGCAAGATCAAGGGAAACGCACGCCGTTCGGCTGAGAGAAGTGAATGTTAGCAAACATCACAGCCGCAATGAATTTGTCATGCCTCGACCGCAGGGCAAAACCAACGGAACGCAGACCGTTCGGCTGTGAGAACTAAACGTTAGCAAACACCACAGCCGCACTGAACGTGTCATGCTTCGATCGATCGCTAGTGGCCTTCACGCAGGTGAAAAAGCCAGCAAAAGGGCTCTCTACGCAGTGGTTAGTGGTTCACTGTGCTAGCAATTGAGAAACACAGCCTGGCTGTATGTGATGACCGGTCGATGGGCGCCGTATTGCTATCGCCACAAAAGCTATTATCGCCTCATGACTGGCTTCCAACAAACCCGTAATCTTTCGCTGCTAAAGGCAATCGTACAGAAGGGAGAACATTGTAAGGTTACAGTGCTGTTCCCTTTACTGTTTTCGATCGCGTGTGTGTTACGGCTGCAAATTCACCCTTCATTGGTGCATAGAAACGAATTCTTAACTTGCCTTCAAGTGACAATACTCTAAGATTTCACTCTGCCCGACGTACTGGTGGCAGCACTACACAGCACACCAATTTAGTCATGAATGCAACTATTGTCCTCACAGTCAGACAGTTGCTAGTTGTACAAATGGATCATGCATTCGATAGCCTTTCGCGTGTACACTGGAGAATATTTGTTTATTCATTACTTTACCTATATTTACATGAAATGTATGAAATGTCTGTAAATATCAACGAATTAGATGTTCGAAGTGCTAAAGAGGAGCATTCGCCGGATGGTGTTGGCGAGCACAGGCTGAAATGTCTCCAACGAAATCTGCCTACATTCGTTCATAATGTTCTCGTTCAGTTCATCCAGGTTTTTGGGTTTCATTCTAGAAACTCTGCACCTCAAGTATCCCCATAGGACAAAATCCATTGGATTCAGATCCGGTGATCGCGCAAGCCATTCTATCGGTCTTCTGCGACTGATCCAACTTTCACCGTTCAGACTGCTTAAAACAAACGTGAGAATTCCAGACACTTCTGTAAAGCGCATGCGCGGTTGCGCAAGTGGTATGCAATAACAGCCACATCGACATTCGCCAACTCGTGCAAAATTGTGAAAACACACGCATGGGATATTGAAGGAAAATATGCCAGCGGAACAGTGCACTGTAGATGCAGGAGTTGAACGCATGGGAACTACAGAAGCGCGTGGGATTTGCCCGTTCTTTTTTAAACAGTCTGGACATGCATTCCATTTTGTTCACCGATGAGGCGGTGTGGCATCTGCATGGCGAAGATAAGAAACATGTTTGGGCAACGATCAACCCATGACAATGTAGCGCTTCACGTGCGCAACATAGCGCAAAGCTCATGATCGCGGCTGGGTTGACTGGTCAAAAAATCATTGGGCCCTCTTTCTTTTCCAGCAGTGTCTCTATTAACATATCGTTTAACAGTACCAATGTCTGACATTTGTTAGCATCTTCGTGCATAGAAATTTTGCATGGTAGCGTCATTCCGCAGATACAGTAGGAAGGGTTATTGAATAACGTATGGTGGCAGCAAAATGGCGCACCTGTCTATTCGGCGCAATCGGCTCGTGCCTATCTGAACGAGACACTCCGTGGTGGATGGATCGGTCGCAGAGGACCGATAGAATGGCTTGCGCGATCACCGGATCTGAATCCAATGGATTTTGTCCTATGGGGATACTTGAGGTGCAGAGTTTCTAGAATGAAACCCAAAAACCTGGATGAACTGAAAGAGAACATTGTGAACGAATGTAGGCAGATTTCGTTGGAGACATTTCAGCCTGTGCTCGCCAACACCATCCGGCGAATGCTCCTCTTTAGCACTTCGAACATCTAATTCGTTGATATTTACAGACATTTCATACATTTCATGTAAATATAGGTAAAGTAATGAATAAACAAATATTCTCCAGTGTACACGCGAAAGGCTATCGAATGCATGATCCATTTGTACAACTAGCAATTGTCTGACTGTGAGGACAATAGTTGCATTCATGACTAAATTGGTGTGCTGTGTAGTGCTGTCACCAGTACGTCGGGGCAGAGTGAAATCTTAGAGTATTGTCACTTGAAGGCAAGTTAAGAATTCGTTTCTATGCACCAATGAAGGGTGAATTTGCAGCCGTAACACACATGCGATCGAAAACAGTAAAGGGAACAGCACTGTAACCTTACAATGTTCTCCCTTCTGTACGATTGCCTTTAGCAGTGAAAGATTACGGGTTTGTTGGAAGCCAGTCATGAGGCGATAATAGATTTTGTGGCGATAGCAATACTTCGCCCATCGACCGGTCATCACATACAGCCAGGCTGTGTTTCTCAATTGCTAACACAGTGAACCACTAACCACTGCGTAGAGAGCCCTTTTGCTGGCTTTTTCACCTGCGTGAAGGCCACTAGCGATCGATCGAAGCATGACACGTTCAGTGCGGCTGTGGTGTTTGCTAACGTTTAGTTCTCACAGCCGAACGGTCTTTGTTCCGTTGGTTTTGCCCTGCGGTCGAGGCATGACAAATTCATTGCAGCTGTGGTATTTGCTAACGTTCACTTCTCGCAGCCGAACGGCGTGCGTTTCCCTTGAGCTTGCTCTGCGATCCATGCATGACAGGTCGATCGCGGCTGTTGTGTTTGCTGTCCAGTTCTCACAGCCGAACGGCTTGGTGTGTCCAGCGATCGTAGACACACATGTCGCGCCTCTGTGCCCCATCTCACCCCTGCCAGCAAAGCAATTTACGTCATTGGACAGTTAGCAGTTCAACGTACCGGGATATGTCAGCACCTGAGTGCAGCCGCTCATATCCTCGGACGTAATTAATAAAACACACAATATATATATATATATATATATATATATATATATATCAACCGGCTATAGAATTGACATCGAGCCAGCGAAAACCATGAAACGAAATTAATAAATACAGAGACCGCAAAGAAAATTATGAAAGTGGCAAACTAGTATTTTTCGGTGTTGTCTTTTCGTTCAATGTTTTTTCCCACGCCTTTTTCTTTTTTTGGTCTGTTTGATGTTTGCGATGTAAAGCAATCAAATGAAAAGTAACATTTGTACACATTTCTCTTGGGGGCCGGGTTGTGTGCCATCTCCGAAAGTGTTTCCACCAGCCGTGTTCTTCCTCTTTCATCATCCCTCCCGGAATACCCAGTGAGTCTACGGCAGCTAAACTGATTATCAGCAGTTTAATCGTTTGTCGCCACGTATTCTTCGGACCCCCGCGAGATTTCTTCTAGCATGGTCCTTTGCGAGCGAAGAGAGCTGGTCGGGGCAGCCGTTTGCATGACATGCTTGAAACGTGGCCCAGCCACCTCAGTTGATGCAGCGGTACCACTCTGTCAAGTGGAAGT